GCTCATGAAGCATGCTGTTTGCATGCTTTGTGGGAAACCCTGAATGTACATGTATAGCAATCTTAGCAATAATAGCATGAGAAAGTGATAAAGTGAGAAAAGCTCTTACACCATTTCCAGAGCATGTCTGTCCATTACTTCCAATAGGGCAAGGGATGACTCCCAACAGTGATGAAACTGATACACAGCTCTGACTAACACACATCTAATCAAAATAAAAAAATAATAATAAAAAGGGAAAGAGATTAGCAAAAAGGTTACACTATAAAAGTTATGTTTGCAGTTAATAAATTTTTACGACCTGAGGACTTCACCCCTAGGTCGTTCCTATAGTTGATTTCACCATTGCGCTATCTATATTATATTTATTAATTTATTTGTATGTCCACACTTACATTTCTTCTATACATGTTGTATTGGAGAAACAACAAGCCTCAGCAACCACTCGTCCACTCTCCTTTACGTAAATGGGTGCCACGACAAACAAAATGGTCGTTTAAACATGGGACAGAATAAGCTTTCTAACAGCAAGAGAACATAAAGATGCTGTCTAAACACTTCTCTAAAAGCATCAGAACTTCAGAAGGTGTAAGTGCCCTACTATGCAGGCAAGGTGGTGAAATCAATTATAGGAATATTTTTTACACTGTTACGCTTGTTGTGTTTGTAGGTGCAGCAAAATGGCAGAAGGATATATTCATAAAATTTTATATCACAAATACCGTATAGGAGTTATACTTGACTCAAAATAAATTTTGCTATTTTTGCGTTGTCATTAAATTCAAAAAATTAAATTCTACAAAAGAGGTGTGGCACACAAGAAAAATGGCTGCAGAAGGTAAAATTCACAAAAATTTATACCAACAAATGGCAAACCTCGACAAATTTGTAAAATTTTATACCAACAAAATGAAAGCCATGTACGGTATTAGATCTAGACAAATTCACAAATTTTTATACCCAAGAAATATAGCACTATCGAATGATACATCCTTTCAGAGTATAGTAAAATTAGTTTTAACTTTGCACGAAGTTGATCTTGAAAATTACTGTCCCACAAAAGGAAAAAGTTCTATAAAATTTTTCATACCCTGTCAGTTCCACAGCTAGCCCCATCAACCACTAAACCAGGACTGACTTCATCAGCATCAGCACGTGTAGTGACACTCCTACACTCTTGAACACCAGCAAATCTAGTATAAGCTGTCAAAGCACTCCTTGACTTAACATTATTAAACATTATTCTGCCACCATTACACTGGAGTGAACCACAGAATGCATTCCTATGAGTGGAAGAAAAGAATTATTTTGCAGTTTTGCACATTACGTTGCAAAAAATTATGAAGTGTAAAGGCATGAAAAACAATCAATTTAGAGACATCTTTCCTGGAAAAATTAATTTTTCAGAAAAATTTATTTTCCATAAACCCAAAGTTATAGTGCTTATTA